TAGGTTTTTAGAGGAGAGAGGACTTTCTACAATTTATATTTTTTTAACATCTGCATTTTTAAATGAACATATACTATCTTTGTCATCAGAAAAATAAAAACTAGAAAAACAAAATGGAACTGAAAACATTTTGTCTTTACGTTTTAAACAAATTAAAGAGAAGTCATGTTCATTGACCCAGTAGGGCGCTGGGAGACCCCCTCTGTGAAGCAGAGATGCTACTTGGCTCTCTGTGAGCCAGCACAGGACACGAGGGCAGATGATCTCCAAACCTGCTTGACTTCTAAGCCTGAGCATTTGACTTTCAATATTTTATACTGCAGAACTGCTGCCAATAGGTCTACAAAGTTTTGACCTAAAATATGAATAAATAATTGACTTTTGAATGCAGGGCTTGCTGGGATTTGTGCAGGTACCCCTAAACTCTTTTTTAAGAAGAGATAAGTTAGCATTGTTTCCTGGCCAAGCTGTTAGGTGCTGCCCCTGACAGAGAGGTGCACCTGTACCATGTCAGGGAGGGGGGAATACATGTATTAGCAAAATCAAGTTTATTAGCCCTAAGCCCTACTGTCTTCAAAGAGCATGACTGATCCCCTCGTGGCACAGGCTGGCCTCTCATGAACCTGAATATGAATACATCTTAGCTATTTCTCATTCTCATAGTTTCCCTTGCTCATAGAAATTATCTTTATTTTCCGTTCCTTATGTTGTAGCTCATATTTGAAAATATAACAGATATCTCCCCAAAATCCTCATTTTTATATTGCTGAGATATAGTAATTACTTAATCTGTAATAATGCTAGCTAGAACTATCACTGTGGCATATATGATTGAAAATAAAGAGGAGGAAGAAATAAGTGCTGTGATAAGAACAAAGTTAGGAATTGATGATTTTATTAAATCTGATAAAAACCTTCATTTGCCTATAGTTTCAAAGCAAACTTGCATAAGGGCGCCAGGAGATTAGATGGCAGTTCTTGGTTCTGACCTTGTCATGGTCAAGGCATGTACTGAATTTAGCCATCTGGTACATAATTAGAGCTTAAAGAGGAGTGCCGAGGACTCTCTATAGAATTTGACTACTTTGTGTAGTGATCCGAGTAGATATTATTGCTGCTTCCTATTCATTTCTTCAAGTTGCCCCTTTTGAAGGAGACAGCCCACATAGGAAGAGAAGGTTGTAATGTGGATATTTGCATTGTAGCTTGTGTTCTGCCTGTTTATTTTGGCTGCCACAATAGAAAAATAGCATATTAGTTGACACAAAACATTATTTCATTAAGAGCTATCAGAAAAATATTTCTTTGTATTTAATTTTTAAAGTTGGTATTTCTTATGTACAGACATGTAATCCAAGTTAGTAATTACATTTCTTGACCTTTTATATCTAAATAGAATCACTCCAGAGTGCACTTAAAACTTCCTGTGTCCATCACACAGAGGTATGCCCAAATAGCCTTATGTGTTCCTTTACCCCTGCTGCCATCCATCACCTTCTTGCCCACCTCACTCCCATAATCTGCTTTGCCACTTGTAGGGAAACCAGTTCCAGAATAAATAATGCAACAGATATTTCACAGTTCTCATAACCAACGGGATATAATACAATATAGCACACATTTACATGTCTAGCCTGAAACCCATGATATTCAAAATATAGTCACTTTCAAGAATAAATTTATGTGACAATTATATTAGGTTTTTTCCCCTTGCCTGCCCAGTATAAGCATAGTTTAGTAGAACTTCAAGAAACTTTCACTCTGTATCCTTAGACTACTGTATTTCCATGAATTTGCCTTCATAGTTTGTAAAAATTACACTATAGCAATAATTTAATAGAAAGTCATATTCAATATTTATCTCTATTTATTATACTTTTGCTCAAATGTCTTTGGATCCCAGTCTTATATTTCAGTTCTTCATTTCGTTGTAGTTCATTTCTGTGCACTTATTAACACTGAGTTTATAAGATGTCTGTGAGATTGAAGAACACTGTAGCCAAGGATGATGGCGGTAGACTCTAGGCCACATTTCTTGTCTCCACAATGCTGAGTGATGAAGAGGCTGTCCTCTGAGCCATGGATCTACTGCACATCCCTATCTGGTACTAAATGGGGCAGAAGCTCTAGCATCCGGTCAAGAACCTTTTATCAAGGTTCAGGAGCCCTGCAGAGGCTCTTCTGGATTGATTCGAACTATGTGGATATTATAAGTTGCAGCTACTCCCAGTTAACTGAGCCCTCCTCAGTTCATACACCCTGGACAATTGCCAAAGGTGGAGATTTTCATTTTGTTTTGCTTTTATTTTTGTAAGGGATATGTGAACCTGAGCCTCAAACCACTGTGCTCTCCTTAGGGATTGATTTCATAACTGTTTCTTCTTAGATGTAGAGAACCTTCCAGTCATAAAATAATCCTGTAGAAACCAGATCATCAGTGCAATTTTATGGCAGTTTGAAAACTGATTTATAAAAACAAAGTTAAAGTAGCAAATGTTACCTTTAGAGTAGAAATGCCAAGTGTTTGTTCAAAATTTTGTGCAGCTGAGAAACACTAAAGGTGTTTGAAATCACAAGTATTTTGCACAAGTTTTGCTGTATTTCGAGGACCTGGGCCTCTTCATGAAACATAGTTGGTGCTCTTAAGAGAAAGGTAGTAATATTTCATCATGTACCCTAAAAGTGGCTGTAAGAAAAGGTATTTGGAAAGTTAAAGATAAGTCTTATGTGAAGCTCACAGTGTGTGCCTGACAGTTTTGTCTACAACTTTTCCTCAGTAAAATTCATGACATTTAGGTAACACTGTACATGTAGTTGTTCCCACTCATATCTCCCTTCTCAGCTTGCTAATCATGTTAGAACTCTGATGTCAGAGCCTACCTCTTACCTTAAGTCCCACAGGGCAGGGCATTGTTTTGTTCACAGTTGGAAGTGAGAAATAAAATGCCATGCCCAATTCTGTAGCTGAGCAAACTGAGGACCCAAGGGGTCAGTGACTATTCTTGCAAACTAGTAAGTCCCAGAGCAAAAATCCTATCCTGAGCCTCCTCCTCACTTTCTGAGTCTTTGAAGTGAACACCACCTGGCATTCCAAGGCCACTTTCTGTGGCCACTCCAGGGAAGCAGAAGAACTAGAGATTCAATACCAGGTGCACCACACTGGTTGATGTGGCCTTCCATGCCTCTGTGACAGCCACATGATACATGGGGTCTTGAAAGGTTCAAGTATATAAGTGGAGATACAGTCCTTGGCAGAATTGTGAAAGAAAAAAATTGAAGTTGACCTTTCAGATCCTCTCCCTCAGCAAATGTGTGTGATGACCTTGTTTTTGAAGCAACAGAAGTTCAGTAGATAGGTTTGAATAATGAACCCTTGCCTGGGTGCGGAGTGACTGTGTTTAAGGATTTTTTTTGCTAATAGCTGGGCCTGATGGTATGTGCACATCTGTACTGGGAAACTGAGGCAGGAAGATTGCATGTTGAAGCCTAGCCCGTGCAACTTAGGCAGACCTTGTTTCAAATAAATAAATAAATAAGTAAGTAAGTAAATAAATAAGGCTGGGTACATAGTTAAATGCAAAGGTACTGAGTTTGATCCTCAGTATCACAAATCAAAAGTAAAGAATTTTATAATACTATTCCTGGGGGATTGAAGGGAGAAGGGAAAATTATTGCCTTGCTGCCTGCCCAAGTACACACACACACACACACACACACACACACACACAGTGCCTCTCCAGACCAGCTGTGGTGTTGACCTTATGGTGTATCTGGTAGCAGACCCATGTTCCCCCTGAGATCCAGAGAATGGCTTTGTCCTTTCCAATCATGTGAACATTTGCTAACTGTTGCTTGAAATGCCCAGTTCATTTTCCTTCTGCTGAGATGGTTTCCCAGCCTCCGACTCCTGGTGTGCACTGCCACACACTCATTCCCTGAGACATGTGTCAAATGCTCTTAGAAAATACAGTTATTAAACATAACATAACGACTTAGGCAGTGGAGCAAGAACTTCCTGGCTGAACCATGGCATTTGTAGGTCAAAGACATTTCTTAACATTAATGTGTTCTTATAACTAAAGCCAACAAATTATTTCTCCCTCATGTCTCTTTTAAATGGGTCAGCATATTCTATGTTTCAGGGAAAGTCTACATTTAAAGTAATTTGGAAGTGGACAATCAGTGAGTTAAATTCTTTAGCAATGCTTATGTCTAGAAACTCCTCTAAGAACTTCCAGTTTGGCTCTTCGCATCAGGGATGGCTGATTACATGTTCCTTTATTTTTATTTTTAAGATAATATGTATTTTTAAGAAAATACATATTTTCTTATGCTTTCCAAAGCCCCAGGTTATACAAATAATGATTTTTCAGAGGTTTCTTCCTCTACCCACTCAGGAGAACCCATTTCAAGTATTTTTATGCCTCTTTCCCAAGACCCCTCCATCAGAGCTGAGTCGATTATTAATCAAATGAGCCAAAGGGAAATACTTGGGGTTTGTTTTAGTTGTGCTTTGAAGAGCTTTTCACCCTACAGCAGCTTATAGAAATGACTAAAAGTCAAAGATGAAATAAATTTGAATAAAACCTCCCGCTTTTGCAGTTTTATGCACAGGAGTCTGTGAAGAAAAGTTTGTCAGATGATCAAGACTTTGAGAAAGGAATCTTAGTTTATACTGATTTTTTTAAAGTCAGGATATGTAATCTCTCTTTGTTTTCACTTATTCTTATAAATTGGAAGGAACTTCAAAGCCAGACAACATTTTGAAGTGCTTTTGCTCTAACTTCTTGGAATGATGTACCTAAAGAAATGGTCTTTGTTAAAAGAAAGGCTTAGTGTTTCTCTTTCAAAGAAAACCATCATTTTTCTAAATAAACTCTACCAGTTTGATGCTCTTTTTCTTTACTTGAAACACATTTTCTCCTCCTGCCCAAGCAGGGTATTTGCAGTGGAGTGATCTTGGTTTTCTTTGTTCTCTCCATCTGATGTGCCTTTGATAGCGGATGGTTTCTCGCTCTTTGGGAGCAAATCCGGATGACCTGAAGGACCCAATTAAGATTAGTATTCCACGCTACGTCCTCTGCGGGCAAGGGAAGGATGCACACTTCGAGTTTGAGGTCAAGGTATGTGTCCCTTCTTTCCTCTTCTACAGGACCGACGTGAGAGGCGTGCAGTGTGCTCTCTGTCACTTTGTAAAAGGAGCTGAAGCTACCTGTGAATGTCTTGTATTATAAGATGTTGTTACATGCTTCTTTCTCTTTTTTTCACATCAGTCTGTGAAGATTTACTTGAAATTCAGAAATTCGCAGAAAATAGTAAAACAGTCCTGAGGAAAAACTACATCTCCACAGTACCTTGTCTATTAACAAAATTGCACCCATAGCTTAATCATTTCCCACAATTTTTATGGCGATTCTCACTGGTGAACTTTATAAGCCTTCAAAAGCATATTAATGCTGGTTCACGCTAACGCCTTTAGAGAAAAGGAAAGGTGGGGAGATCAGTTCATTTCATGAGAAGAGCTAAATGTCAGTACCCACACTTGACAATGCCATTACAAAAACTGAAGTTTCCAGTCCCCTTTCCTTAAAGAAAATTCATATATTCTATTTATGACTGTGGTATATATTTTGGAGAGCCTATATCACAACCAATTTTGGTTTATAAAACATAACTCAGTCAACTAGTTTCTCAACAAATACAAATAATCTTAGGAACTGAATGAAATATAGTGAAATTGAATACATTTCCCTAATTTAAGGATAAACAGTAAATACCCCAAACAGTTCATATTAAATTTTGAGAAGGAAACTGTTCCTTAAATGGTATTTACAGAACTCTATAAAGCAGACACATATTTTGTGGTTCAGTGTTGAAAGTAAGAATGAAGCAAGAATTCTCAGTGTGACCACTTCTACCCGACATGCTGCTGGAGGCCCTGTCCAAAGCAATATTGTCAAGAAAATGAGAAACAAAGACATGATTGGAAAGGAAGGGATATAACTGGTATTTTCTTTTTTGTTAATGTGTGCGTGTTTGCAATATATAATAGTTACATTTGTTTTGCGGAATTGGTACATGTATATATTGTATCTCGATTATTCTTTATCTCATTAGCCTCCTCTCTCCCCTCCCCCTTTCCCCAAGTCCCCTACCCCAGCTCTACAAAGTCTGCCTTTTTGTTTCATACCATCTCTCCTTCATTTACTCTATATGTTAGGTTTCCCATATAAGTAAAACAATATAATATTTAACTTTCTGTGTCTGAATTATTTCACTTAACATTATGATTTATCTCATGTTCCATCCATTTTCCGAAAATGATATGATTTCATTCTTGATGTTTGAGTAATATTCCATTGTGTTAATGAACCACATTTTCTTTGTTCATTCATCTGATGATAGGACTATTTATTGGCTGTTTCAGAGTTTAGCTATTGTGAGTTATACTGCTACAAATATGGGTATCCATATATCACTATAGCATGATTTCTTTATGTCATTCAGGAATATAGCAAAGAGAGATATAGCTGGGTCAAATGGAATTTCTATTTTTAGCTTTTCAAGAAATCTCCATACAGATTTCCATGATAATTTCACTTATTTTACATTCCCACTATCAATGTAGAAAGTTTCTTTTCCTTACATCCTCGCAGCATTTGTTTTTTGTGCTTTTTATGTTCTTGAAGAAAGCCACTTTGACTGAGATAAGATGAACTCTCAGAGTTGTTTCGATTTACAACTGATAAAGTCACAATATTATTTCCTATGTTATTAGAGTTCTGTTTGGGAAGTTCTTGCCTGTGCCTGTGGCTTGCAGTGTTTCCCCCGTGTTATCTTTCAATGGTTCCAAAATTTATATTCAACCTAACCAAAGAGATTAAAGACTTTCTAACAAAAACTACAGAACTCTAAAGAAAGGGATTGAAGAGAATATTTGAAAATGTAAAGATATCCTCATTCCTCAGTAGGTAAAATTAATATCATTGAAATGACCATATTGACAAAAGCGATCTATGGATTTTATGCAATCCCTGTTAAAATATTAACAACTGTCTTCACAGAACTATAAAAAAGAAATCCTAAAATTCATATAAAACTAGAAGTCACCCAGAATAGCTAATGCAGTCTTTAAAAAAAAGTGGTGGCATCACAATTTTTGGATTTCAAGTTATGCTACAAAGCTATGGTAACAAAAATAGCATGGTGCTGGCACAATAATAGATATGTAGACCAATGGAATAGAAGACACAGAAACAACCCCATAATGTATCTGTGATCATTTGAGTTTTGACAGAGGGACCAAAAACACATGCTGGAGAAAAGATAGCATTTGAAACTGCTGGTCAGACCCTTCTTTAAGCCAGTCTATGGCTCTAATCTGTGGCACATGGAGGGAAATTATCCCATAGACAGCAGCATTGCTCTGTGAGTCAGACAAGAAATTTCCTGTCACCCTCCAGCCTGACAAGTAGCTGCCAGCCATGCCAGGGTTGCTGGGACTCTCCTTATTTCATCCCTGAAACTTCCACATCCTGAAAGACCCCACAGTCCTAGGCAAACTAGAACATTTAGCCACCTGACCCATGAATTTAGGCTCAGTTTTCCTCATTTATAAATATTTGTGTCTTGGGGTTATCAGTACATGTAAAATGCTATGTCTAGTGGCTGGCAGATAATAAAAATTAACATGAGGCTAGTGCTGTTAGTACTATTGCTGTTTCTTTTACTAATTAGTAAGATTTCCTAATCTGTTTCAGATATTTGGTTTATACAACTTTAAAGGAAGAGATGTGCCTGTTTCCTTATATTATATTTTCCAAATTAATGGCATCTTATTTCTAATGTACAGTAGTTCCCTTGACTCATAGTACTTCATTAAAGGTTGCAGGCTACTATTCCCTCCTCAGTGAATTTCAAATAAATCATACTTTCATAAGGATAGCAATGGTATTGGTGTAATGATATCTACTAGGGTCACCAGTAGATGGAGTATCAGGGTATCTTGGAAGTGTTTTGCTCAGATAAACACCAGCCTAGGGATCTTGGCTCTGAATTCTCCAGGTGCTAGCTCTGCCATGATTTGCTTAGTGACTTTTAGTCTTTTAGTTTCTCCGAGCCTTAATTCTCTCATTGATAAAAAGAGGAAATTGACAGCATTAGTTGTCTCTAAATTTTCTCTTACCCGAGAAACCCCTTTACTGCAAAAGTATCTTAGGAGAAAAGAGACTGTGAAAGGCCAATAAGCCTGAAGCTTAGTGGAGGGGAAAGAGAAAAGTGCCTGAGCCAGCTCTCTCCATCTGCCCCAAACTCAGATGTACCTTGGGGGAACCCTGGAGTTCGATGGGACCGTCTGCTTTCATGTACATTAATTTTCAGTATTCCTGGAATGATACTAGAGTAACTTACTCATCAGGCTTTTAGATTTTTATTACTATATAGTGAATTTTTCTTTTTTGTTTTTTTAAAAAAGGGCAGTAACTTGTTTATTTGAGTTTTTTGGTTTTTTTTTTTTTGAGGAACAATGCCTTTGAAGTGGTTATTTCTTTGTGATTTAACTTAAAGTCTTGGGGTTTCTCATTAAAATGTTGCACCAGGTACTTGGTCTATCACTTCCCATCTCTCTGACCTAATCATGTCTAATTACTGTTCTTCTGCTTTTCATTGTTCTCGATCAGTCTGTATGTTGTGTGTCTATGTAGAATTCCCTTTGTACATATCTGTAATATACATGTGTAAAAACAATTTGAGGGTATTTGCCACATTTTCATATTGGGTTTAGAAGCACTTTCAGAATTACAGTTTTCTGAACAAAGAACTCACAGAATTGAAAACATACAGTGGGCACATGGATTTATTTTACTTTAACATATATATGCATTAATAAAATATAACCATTGAATTGATTTCATGTATAGAACTTGAATAAAGAAGATGCTCCATTTTTAAAACATAATGAGTTAAATAGAAACTATAAGCCAATCATAGCCTAGGTGGTGGTATGCAGACCTGGCCAAAACTGTGAAGATGCTGCTGTCAGAGCAAATTAAAGAAACCAAATACAGGCAATCTGTGTGGCTTTCACTTCAAAATACATAAAACCAAGTCCAAAGAGTTCTGCTTTCTTTGATCTTACCAAAGCCAGCTCTGAAAGCATGTCATTGTTCTGCTTCCTTTTGTGCTTATCTGGCTGTAATCATCATAGCAGGAATGAGCTATTAACATTAGCCTGAAGGGTGACTAGTTTTCCCTCCAGGAATGGTGTCTTCCTTCACAGCCACCCACTCCTGGGATGCACTATGCTGCAGAGGTGCAGGGCTCCTGGGAGAGATGTAGAGTGAGCAGGCTGTGCCTCCCCAAGCCAAGGGGTGCAGGTGTTAGAACAGTTCTGGGTGCACAGTATCCTGTTTTATCTCCCCAGGTGACCTTTATCAGTCACATAGCCTTCTGTGTCTCACCCGTAACATGGGATTAATAAAGTCCCCTGGCTGAGATGCTGAGCAACATATGACCTCATGTACCTACAGTTCTTCAAGCAGTGCCTGTCACATAGGAAATGCTGGATACGTGTGTGCTACTAAAATCACATAAAAATATAAAGGTTTTGGGAATGAGCAAGACTTGAGCCTTCATTTCTTCCCTCAGTAACTTTGGATGTACAATTAGGTTCTTAGGAAGTTTAAGGTTTTGTTTTGTTTTTACATTTTGGTTTTAGTTCAGCATTCTGACTTAAAGAATTAAACTGCATGGAAAAAAGCCCACAGAGAGTAAACCTGTATGTTGTCATTATTGGAATAGAGCTACAGCTGTTGCACACCTGTTGCTCAAATCTTCTTAGGAACACTCTTTTGAGACCCTAATAGCTGTGCACATGCAGTTTTAGATCCTATGTGAGAACAGCTATGCTCATACTATATGCAATTTTGAAGGAACAGCTTTATGACTTGGGTTTTTTCCCAAAGAAATTTACATTGAAAATGTTATATTAAAAATCACTTTACTGTTAGAAAAACTTGCATTTATCAACATTTTCTGTCTAATTTGGTTGTGTTTTCTAGAACAAATGACCTAGCTTTTGGTGATATTTTAGCTACTACTAAATTTTTCTCTTGGTGACTCTTGA